ACCCCATGAGGTGGGGACAGGTATCCCCCACTTTTCCAAAGTTCACTTTATGCCAGTCACTTTTACAGAAGACCTAACATTAGCACCTGTTTTTGCTAATCGAAAGAAATCTGAAGACAATTTTCATTTTTAGGGAAAAAGCGAAAATAGCATCCAGCATCAGTTTTGCAGTGTGCCGGTACAGAGGCAGCTCACACCCTGAGCAGCGAGTGGCCCCACCAAGCTCCTCCACTGGGAACTGCACTTGACATCTCAGCATTGTGAGCATCTGTGCTTTAACCTCGATTTATTTTGTGTATCCGTTAGCAAGCTGTTGTGACCTAAGGTAAATTGCGTCTTTGCTTACGCCATTTCGACTTACAAAAGGTTCACAGGAATGCTCTACTTTCAGATAGCGGGGAAACCTGTACTATTATTGTTCCCATTTTACAGACAAGGAAACTGAGGCACAGAGAAATTATTTAACTTGCCTGGGGTCTTACATCTAGAAACTGGCAGCGCCAGGATCCAAACTCCATTGAACTCTGGAATCTGTGCTGTTCCCCATCATGCTGTCACTGCAGAAGGGACAGGCAGGTAGGAAAGACTGAGCAGAGGTGACGCTTGAGCCAAAGCCAAACCTAATCAAGTCAGAACTCAGCAGGTGAGACAGGATTGGGAAGAGTAGGTGAGGCAGACAGCAGTCTGAGCAAAGGCTGGGAGGGAGGACCTTGCAGCAGCTCAGGGTCTGCACTGGTTCTGTGGGCCTTAGACTGGAGACGTGGCCACCAGCCTCACCCTGGAGTCCACATGAGCCCTGCCAAGCAGTCTGGAGCAACAGGGCTCTGGGTTGCAAACAAGAGAAAACAACATTGGTTAATTTGAGCAAAAAAGGACTTTATTGGAAGGATACTAGGGAGTCGCGGAACTCATAGAACAGACTCAAAGGGCAGGAAGTATGGGATGCTGGCTGCCAGGACCACGTGAGGACCCTGCCACAGGAGCCAACTGTAGTGTTCTGCCATCTCCACACTGGACGGCGGAGGCCCAGGGCTGCCGCTGGACACGTGAGGCCACCACCTCGCTGAATCCTCAATTATCCTTCCCTCTCTTCCTGGTCCTCGTTCCAGGTCCTCATGCAAAATCTGATTGGCTGAGTTCAGGTGAGATGCCTATGCCCTGGTTGCTGGGATCAGGGGGAGCAAGTGTCTGGCCTCTTCATGCCCATGGAGGGAAGCGGCGTCTTGCAGTCAGCGCATTTGTAGAGGTTGAGACTGGGCAGCCAAAACTCAATGACCATCCATTACACGACTGCACGGACAATGGGAAGTCGCCAAAGGGTTTTTTTTTTAAAATTTATTGCGGCAAATTACATAAAATTTACCATTTTAAGCATTTTAAGTGTACAGTTCAGTAGCATTAAGCACACTCGCATTGCTGTGCAACCATCACCATCATCCATCTCCAGAACTTTTTCATCTTCCCAAAGTGAAACTGTCCCTGTTAAACAAGAACTCCCCATTCTCCCCTGCCCCAGTCCCTGGCACCTACCATCCTACTTTCTGTCTTGATGAATTTGACTGTTTCAGGTATCTCATATAAACGGAGTCATACAATATTTGTCCTTTTGTCTCATTTCACTTAGCATGTTTTCAAGGTTCATCCATGTTGTAGCATGTGGTAGAACATCATTCCTTTTGAAGGCTGAACATCCTATTGTACCTCTATATTGCATTTTGTTTATCCATTCATCCATTGATGGATATTTGTGTTATTTCCACCTTTTGGCAATTGTAAATAATGCTGCTATGAACATGGGTGTACAAATATCTTAAGACCCTGCTTTCAATTCTTTTGGGTATTGTACCCAGAAATGAATTGTATCAAAGGGTTTTAAGCAGGGGAGAAACAGCATCATATTTCTGTCTCCTAGAAAACTGATTCTGGCCACAGTGTGGACAGTTTGGAGAGGTGAGAGTAAAGGGAAGAAGACCCACTAGGCCAGAGCAACTGTCCAGTGGTCATGGGGATGGAGGGATGTTGAGGGTGGGGCTGATGGGATGGGGTAAAGGAGAGGGTAGAGCTGCAGAGGAGCCCGCTTCCTGGCTTGTGCAACTCAGGTCAGCTGGTGGTGTTGCTAACATCAGGGGGAGCACAGGAAAAGGCAAGCTGGTGGATGAGCTGAATTTGCGATGACTTCTGAGTTGAGATACAATTTTTTTTTTTTAACATATTTTGAGATACAGTTTTAGAAGACAGTTCTAGATTCCAGTTTGAAGCCCAGGAGAGAGGTATGGTTTGGAGATAGACTAGCAAATCTTGAGCAAGGAGGCGGCCCAGAGAGAGCAAGCAGATCAGAAAGAGGGTCCAGGACTGGACCTGGGTGTCCTGATATTTCAGGGGAATCCAAGAAAGAGGGGCCAGCAGTGCCAGGGCCCCAAGAAGGTGTTCACCAAGGCTACAGAGGCCTGAGTCTTTAGCACTGGGCATTAGGGGGTCACTGGTTACTTCTGCCCAAGCAGTAAATGGAGTGATGAGGGCACCCAAAGTAAATGAAACAGAAGCAGAAAGCAGCTTTTGAACGTTTTTCAAGGAGCTTAACCTTGAAAGGCATAATAGTAGCTGAAGACAGATGCTGGACAAAACTTTTCGGTTAGGATTAGAGCGGTTGTTTTTAACAATAAAATGAACATAAGCCTGTTTAAGACTTGTAGGAGAAAGAGGAACAAGGTCTCAGAGATGAGGGAATTGGATCAAAAGCCAAAATGCAAAGCTTGGCCTTGAAAAGAGGAGCCTGCTCTCCTCCGGGTAAGGGAAGGAGGTAGAAGTGGGGAGGCTTAGAGAGAATTAAAGAATTTAAGGGCCTTAATTTTTTCTAAGGACTAGGAGGCAAGGACAAGCGTAGGAAGGATGAGGGGAAGGACGGTGGTTGAGACACCTGCATCAAGGTACACGTATGTCCCTGGGCCTCCTCTGGCCGAGTGCGATAATTCCTGGGAATCGCACCTTTGACTAGCTCCCCAGGGGGTTCTGCACCCACTGCTGTAGAGCACCCAGTTGGGCCAGTGTGTGAGGAACTGGCTCCTTCACAGGAGTCTGTCAGGGAGAGGGGGCGGGGAATAAGAGCTGGACTCGGGGTGGGGTGGAGGGTTGGTTCCCAGGCACTAAGCGAAGCTCTCAGCAGCCTCACCCCAGACTGACTTCTTTCCTCCTGGGACAGGAGGGTACGGGGCTCCCCTTCTTAGAGGAGTGGGTGACTGACTGGACAGAAAAAACAGACCTGGGGGTGGGGTGGGGGTGGGAGTGATCTACCACAGACTACTGGAGGCCAGGCTGGCAGCCCCCCATACAAAGGGACAACCCTGGTGACACAGCCCAAAGAAGGCATGGCTTCCTGGGTCCCACACCTTCAGCTCTGCCTTTGACCCAACAAAAGAAACAGTCTATGAACAGGCAGAAACTCTTTAATTGTTGTTTTCTTTAAAAAACAAACCCCAGTTTTTCCTTAAACTCCATTCTTAGTTTTTCAGGGACAGAGAGAAGTTTGCAGTCATGACATCAACTCAACATCATTTGGCTACTCCCGATTCTGCAGGACTAAGACATTTCCCAGGAGTTGTCCCGCCAGCCAGCGAGGACAATTGCAAAGAGTTTAACTAGCACCCACCAGGCCCGTGCCATTTCAGGGACCCTAACCAAGCAAGCACTCATCTTCCCTCATATTCTCTGCTATCCACTAGCCTCTCCACACTCCACTTATCCCCTACTTCCATGAACCTGTAAACATCAAAAGGCACAGAGGCCTGGGATATGGCGGAAGTTGTGGTTGGGCAGCCTTTGAAAGCTCACCTTTTAACAATATTGAGAAAAGAGAAACAGGGGCTAGGGGAGTGGGGATCCCCAGAGACAATGAGATAACCCCACCCTCCCCCTAGTTCAACTCCAACACCACCCTCAGGCAGTGTCCTCCTGTGAGAGGACACTAAGGAAGCTGAAAGTTAAAACTACTATCAACCCTGGCCGCTTTCTGGCACGTGAGAAAAGCTTCCTAGAACTTTACGAAATGCTAATGTCACCAGGACCATTCAACCCCTAAGTTTTTCTTCTAGAGCTAAGTAGGCGCTGTACACTTTGTTTTGTAAAAAACAGGTATGAGTGATAAGAGGGGGCGCCTCCTGCCATGGGCCCCTTCCTGCCCTCTGCAGTTATCGGTCCATATGCCCTGAGCCTCAGGGCATGGGGGGTCTGGAGACACCTTCCCTCCCCAAGCGGCCACTGCTCCATCAGCCTGCATTTAACCAAACAGCAACAGCACACAGAACTATAAAACACAGCTTCTGTGCAGCAGACATTTATAGTCTGAGACCCAACCAAGGCTTCCCTCCCTCCTTCAAAACTTAAGACTATAGGTTGAATATGCTGTTTCTTCCTCACAGATAGAATTGTCTCCAATCCATGGCGATAGTCCTCCCGGACCATCTACAGAATCTAAGAGGAAACCCAAGCCTCGTTACCTAGATGCACTCATGGCTGGGAACCAAGCCTCAGCAGAGGCAACTCAGTAAAGAAAGCCCGAGGCTGGCTGTGGCTCTCAGCATCCAGCTCTGGTGGGGCTGCTGCAGAGCGGCCACATTTCCCCACAAGAGCAGAGGTGCTCTCGCTCACCCCCAGCCCCCAGCCCTTTAACCTCTTCTGGCTGGGCCAGTGATTCCTACTCCCTAGTCTGAGGCCCGACTGGAAACAGGCTGGGATACTCTGGGACATAGTGGGGGAAAGGATGGTAGGTGACTGACTACAGGCAGGACAGCAGCGCGGGTCTGGGCCAGGCGGGCCCCGTTTCCTCAAGCTGAAACGGCCGCTGCCGCTGTGCCAGCCCTCAGAGGACAGGCCTCATGTGCAGCAACAGCGTGTGCACAGGTAACGAGACCAGGGGAGGGGACCCCAAGTGTCTTCTCCACAGGGAGAGGGGACTATGTACAGGGGGAAGAGGGGAGTCTGGCCAGGGACATCCCCACTTCATCTCATTCAACCAGGAGATCAAACTGCTCAGCAGCTTCAAACTCAGCATTCATGGCCGCGGCCCACTCATCCAGCTCCGATTTCTGGGGGAAGAGAAATGGGGGGCAGGTGAGTGGAGAAGCGGGCACATTGGCTGGAGCATTTCCACCCATACCCTGCAGGCGCCACCTTTCTCCCATGACAGCCAGGGCTCAGCCCCGGCCCTGCACGTGTCCCGGTGCATCTCCCCGTGTGTCTGGTGTGACGTTAGAGGACGGCCCCTGCCCCTCACTCACCAAGATCTCCGGCACCTTCCTCTTCTTTCGTTTCTCTTTCACGGCCGGGGGAGAGATTCCAGGGAGAGTTGTGTCTGGGGCCCAGGGCTTCACAGGGACCCTGGGGACCTCAGTTAACTTTGAACCCACCACAGGCGAGACTCCAGCCAAGTCTTCTGTTGCCAGCAGCCCCTCAAAGCCAAAGCAGGACCGGCGGCCTGGGGTGGAGGTGGAGGCAGAGCCAAGAGTCTCCAGGCGGCTGTAGGATCGCCTGACTTTCTTTGACATTTCCAAGTCTCTGGCGTCCAGGTCTCCTTCCCCGGAGTCGGACTCAACATTCAGGGAGCACAGCACAGGAGTGGAGGCGGAGGTGACAGGGACACTGCGTGTTTGGAAGACGTCCTCCTGAGTAGACTCCTTGCTAGGGGGGTTGTTTTCTTTCTCCAAAAAAACAGCGATCTGTACCAGGACAGAAGAGAGAACACCTCCCTGTTACTTGGCTGTGTTACTTACTTCAAGAAAGGAGCAAGGAGATTTAGGGCAGAAAGAAAGACCCACAGGACCTAAAATGTCCATCCAGTCAATAAGTCCTTATCGGTCATCTGCCAGGCACTGAGAGTACAGCAGGGAATAAAACAGAGAAGACCCCTGTCTCCACAATGCTGCCACTCTGGTGGGGAAAATAAAGAATAGGGAGAATCATGTCATATGTTAAGCACTTTGGAAAAAAACAACAGGACTGAGCATACTGGGTGGGGGAAGGGTTTGGAATTTTAAGTAGGTGTAGGTCAGTGTAGGCCTCACTGAGGTAGCACTGGAGCTATGACTTGAAGGAGATGAGGGAGTAAGTCATCTGGAGGAGAAATGTTCTAGGCAGAGAGAACAGGAGGTGCAAAAGTGCTGAGGTGAAAGGGTGCCAGTCAGGGTCAAGGAACAATAAGGCTAGTGTGGCTGAAGTGAGAGGGAGTGAGGCGAGGAACTGAGCATGGGGTTCGAGAGGTAATGGGGGTGTTATAGGGCATTCTGCAGGCCACTGTAAGGGGAGACCCATGGAGACCCTTGCTCAGAGACACAGGGAGCCATGGCAAAGTTCTGAACAGGAAAGCACTTAATCTGACATGTGTATTAAGAGGTTCACACACTGGCTTCTCATAATTCCAGTCTCAGCTGAGATGCTGCCTCCTCAGGAAGGCCGTCCCTTACCGTGGATCGGAGACCAGCCCCTCCTCACCTTTGCTAGTCACCCTCTGTCACAATTACCTCTTTCCTGAACAGTGAGCATCACTATCTGATTGTGGCTGTTCGCTGGTTGACTGTGACGCCAACTAGAATGTGCGCGTCACATGTGAGCATCTTCATCTGTCTGGCTGACCTTGCCTGTGCCCAACACCTTCAGCAGAGCCCTGCGTGGAGCCGGTGTTCCATAAATAACCACTGAGTTAACTTTCACAAAACTTGACACTGAGCTTTGTGACAGCCAAGACAAGGCGAGAAACAAGACAAATTTAGGGGCCCTTGTGGTTTAATAGAATTATATTGGTTATCAAGAGAGACATTTCCTGGCCACAGATTCTGGGGAATCTGCCCCATGAGTCTTAGTAAAAGGGATGCTGAACAAAATGGGAGTCACCCAGACGCCTTCTTCTTCAATCCCTACAGCCAAGCAGTCATCGAAGTCCTTGTGCATTTTTTGTTCAATATCTCATGAATCTATCATTCAGCCAACAAGAAAGAGTGGCCACCATAGGGGAGACAGAAGTCCCTGCCCCTAAGACAACAAACATGCAAACAAAATACTCTTGGCTATTCATAAGGCCTATGGAGAAATATATCAGGCAGCCTTCGGGGAGGCGGTGCCCTGAGCTGAGCCCTGTGTGATGGGTGGTCACGCGGTGAGCCAGGCGAAGGAGCAGCACTCTGCCTTTACCTGACTTCAGGCTCCCATCATCTCACTTCGGGATTCCTTTCATGCCCGCCCACCTGGTCTGGGGGTCCCCAGAAGGCTTTCTGCAATCCATTCTCCACCCAGACCCTAAAGAGATCTTTCTAAAACACCCAAGCCTGCCTCAGTCACTACCTTAAGACTCTCCAAAGCTGCCCACAGAACAAAGGATGAAGTCGAAGTTCATCCTCATGCCTCATCAGGATCTGCTCTGGCTTGGCACACGCTCCCTCCCCTGACAAGGTCTGGGGCAGACACATCAAAGCTGCTGTTCCCCAAACCTCAGGCTTTTTCTTGTGGACTCCAGGCATCTGCAAACACAGCTTCCTTTGCCTACAACACTCCTAACTTGTCTTCAAAGACTCAGTTTAAACACTTCTTCTGTGAAACATTCCCTGAGCTACCTGGTCTAGGTTAGGTGCCTTTACAGCATCTAGTACTTTCTTTATTGCAGTCCTCAGCACACTATGTTATCACTTATTTGTCTTTCTCCCCACTTGACTGTAAGCCCCGTGAGCCACTCAAAGGCAGTTAGTATTTCTCATTTGTTATATCTTCAGGTATAGATCTTCTTTTAATGAGACATCCTTAACAGTAACTTCTGCTAAACAGTTAAGGACATTACACTACACTGAGAACAATAGACGAGGAAGAAGAAAGTAGTTAAGACACAGCTCAACTTTTAAAGGAAAATGGTAGAGAATACAGGGCATCAATAGCTAAACGCACCAAGTGTGCAGGAAGTAAGCCAGACTGGCGATACACATAGGTGTCCAAAGGCAAACTGTTTCAAAATACAGCAAATAGCTCCCTGGGCAGACGTGAGCAGCCACTATATTCCGCCCCAGCTCTAGACTGTCTGTCCTGGATTCCCCTTAACTAAGAAAATGAAAATGAACTTACCCGGGGGCTCCTTCGAGGCGAATGAACAGACGGGATCTGTGGAGACAACACTAGTTGATCACACCAACACTAGTTGATCCCACTTCTGGCTCCCCACCTACAACCCCTCTCTCTGCCCTCACCTCTACAGTATGGGCCACGATCTTCTTCAAGACGATGGGCTTTCTGACTGGGGCCGCCTGGGGTGCCTGCAGAAGACGGGTGAACTTGAGCTCTACATTAGCCCAGGGGCCTCCGGGGCAGGAGGAACTGAGGGACCCGGGGCTCACCTTAGGCCAGATTTCCGGGAGGATGCTTGGGAGATCAGAGCCTGATTTCCGCTGGGACCTCCGCAGAGACTGAGTGGAAGTTGGGGCGCTGGGCCCTGGAAAGAGAGAAATTTAGCAGGTAGGGGAGGACTCTAGACCTCAGAGTCAAGAGAGAACAGGTGCTGAAGAGAGCGAGAGAAGTTCCCAAACAGGCCCTTTGGGGGCGCCTTCTCGGGCGGGGGACGAGCCTCCTAGGGAGGTGGGGGGAGGGCCTTCCTCACGGAACTGCGTCCCACAAACTGCTCAGCCCCATCTCTCCCGCGCGCCCTCCGCTCACCGGAGCACTGGGCGGCCCCTCCGGACCGGGTTCGCCTCTGGGACATGTCTAGCCTTGGTCTCGAGCTCCACTGCCGCAGCCGCCGCAGCCCGGGCTCGCGCCAACCCGAAGGGTAAACGTCCGAATTACCCGCCTTACCCGGGAGGAAGCGGAAGTGACGTAAGGCGGGAGGGCCGCCGAGCTCTGGTCACCCCTTTTCCACCCGCCTCCACGTCTAGCGTCTGCAGGGGCGGGGCCAGAGGTGCACTGGTGTCATCAGCGCGCGCCGCACCCGGAAGAGACGTGGCAGTGGAGGGATAATCGGAGGGTTCTGAGCTGGAGGGAGCCGAGCGAGAACTCGGCTGAGTGCTGTCTGACCTTCCGCGCCTCGGACCGGCGCTCGCGCCCGTGGGGACGGGTGCCGCAGCCGATTCATAACACAGAGTGGGGTCTGTGGGGAAGGTGG